AACTACAGCCACATGCAACAATGTGAATGAATCTTATGATCATAATGTTGAACAAAAAAAGAGGAGGTAAAGGAATACACAGAGCCCATGTAACAAGGCAGGAAAAAGAAACAAAATGCGTAAGATCAGAAAAGGAATAATAAAACCTATTTATGCAGATGACTTGATTGAATTTTTATACAAACTATTAGAAATACAGTTGGCCTTTGAACAACACAGGGACTAGGGGCACCAACCCTTCCCCATCCATGCAGTCAAAAATCTGCATATAACTTTTTTTTAATTTTTAAAAGATTTTATTTATTTATTTGTCAGAGAAAGAGAGAGCACAAGCAGGGGGAGCAGTAGACAGAGCGAGAGGGAGAAGCAGGCTCCCTGCTGAGCAGGGTGCCCTACGTGGGGCTCAATCCCAGGACCCTGGGATCATGACCCCAGCCGAAGGCTTCACAGACTGAGCCATCCAGGCTTCCTGCATATAACTTTTGACTCCCCAAAACCTTAACTACTAAGAGCCTAGTGTTGACTGACTTTTTGATGAACAGTAACAGTAACACATACTTTGTCTGTTATATGTATTACATACTGTATTTTACAATAAAGTAAGAAGGAAAAGAAAATGTTATTAAGAAAATCATAAGGAAGTCACAATACATTTATAATACTGTACTGTAAAAAAAACACCATATATAAGTGGACCCACCCAATTCAAATCTGTGTTGTTCAACTGTTATCGGTGGATTTAGCAGGATTGCTGGATACATAGTCAGTAAACAAAAACCAAAGTACTTCAACATATTAAAAACAAAAAAGTGTAAATGAAATGTAAAAATGCCATTTACAATAGCATCAAGAACATCAAATATTTAGGAATAAATATTGCTAAAGATGATAAAAATTTCAAAACATTGCTGAGTAAATTTGAAAATGGACTAAATAAATGGAACTCTATATCATGTTCAGTTTTCCTCAAGTTGATCTATATAGATTCAGTGCAATTCAGTCAAAATCCCATCAATTTTTTGTTTAAATTGACAAGCTAATTATAAGATTTACATGAAAATGTAAAGGGGGGTTGCCTCAGTGGCTCAGTCGGTTAAGCATCTGACTCTTGATCTCAGCTCAGGTCTTGATCTCAGGGTCTTGGGTCCAAGCCCCATGTTGGGCTCCACGCTGGGCATGAATACTACTTAAAAAAATGAAAAGAAAAGAAATGAAAATGAAATGAAATGAAATGAAAGGGGCACCTGGGTGGCTCAGTTGGTTAAGGGACTGCCTTCGGCTCAGGTCATGATCTCAGGGTCCTGGGATCGAGTCCCATGCATGCTCCTCCCTCTCCCACTCCCCCTGCTTGTGTTCCCTCTCTCTCTGTCTCTCTCTCTATCAAATAAATAAATAAAATCTTAAAAAAAAAAAGAAAATGAAATGAAATGCAAAGAACCTAGAATAAAAGGCAATTCTAAAGGAGAAAATGTTGGAGGACTTACCCTATCAAAGAGCAAGACTTACTATAAAGCTACACTAATTAGGCAGTTATTACTGGTGCAATGATAGACAAATAAGCCAATTGTGTAGGAAGTCCAGAGACAGACCTGCATATATAATTCAATTCAGTACAAAATATATGCAATAGTGTAATTCAGTGGGAGAAAGATGGTTTTTTCAATATCGATACTGGATCAATTGGATATCTGTGACACCCACCTACCACACGTCATACACAAAAATTAATTCAAGATATAAAATAGACCTAAAGATGAAGGGTAAAACAACAAAGCTCCTAGAAGAAAGCATAGAAGAGTATCTTCATAACAATGGGATGTACAAATATTTCTTAAATAGGACACTAAGATTGCTAACCATAAAAATAGATAAATTGGACTTCATTAGAATTGAATTTCTTCTCACCATTGAGAGAATGAAAATGCAAGCCACAGCCTGGAAGAAGTTACTCTCAATATGTATATTTGACAAAGGACTAGTACAAATAAATAAGAAAAAGACAAACCAACTTAACATTGGGCAAAGACTTGAATAGATGCTTTAGTATATAATCCAATAACAATAAACGTGTTCAACATCATTAATCATCAGGAAAATGTAAATTAAAATCATGATGAGATTCTACCACACATCTATCCACTAGAATGGCTAAAATTTTAAAAGGCTTGACAATTCCATCTTAGGAGAAGATGTGGAGCAACTGAAACACCCTTACTTGATGAAGAGAGGATAGGTTGGTATAACCTCTTTAGAAAATTGACAGTTTCTTCTAAAGTTAAAGATATGCTTATTTTGTGGTCCAGCAGTTCTACTCCTAGGTACATACACAAAAGAAATGAGTGCTTATGTCCACCAAAAGGCATATATAAGAGTGCTCAGAACAGTTTTGACTGTTAACCCAAATACTCAATAACAAAATAAGTAAATGTATTCTGATATATTTCATCAATCCAGTAGAATACTGCATAAGATGAAAAAGAACAAACTACCAGTACACATAACAATATGCATGAATCTCACAAACGTAATGTTAAACAAAAGAAGTCAGATGTAATAGAATACATTTTATATGATTCAGTTTATATGGTGTTTCCAAACAGGTGAGCCTAATCTATGGTGTAAGAAGTCAGAATAGTAGCTACTCTCAGTGGAGGGTTTCTGAGAGGGAATGGGAATGAGAATCTTCTGTGCTCTGGGGATGAGAATAGGGCAGTGCCCACAAAGCTCACAGTTCCTGTTGGGATTCAGCCATTTTTCTGGAATAAGTCCTCCTTGGATTGTTGCAAGCTCTTGGTTAATATACAGATCAGAAGAAGTTGAATTGACTAATCTGGTCCATGTTCTTGTTGTTTATGTGGAAGAGTGAATTTTCAGAGACTCTTACTTCATTCCCACTGACGTCACTCCCAAGTGTTCGACTCTCATAGTATACCCGAGTCAGCTCAGGCTGCCATAACAAAAACACCATAAACTGGGTGGCTTAAACAACACAAATTTATTTCCTCAGAGTTCTGGAGGCTGAAAGTCCAAGGTCATAGTGCCAGCATGGTTAGGTTTGGATGAGGACTCTCTTCCTTGCTTGTAGACAGCTACCTTCTCCTTGTATCCTCACTTTATTCCTCAGTGCATGTGGGCAGAGAAAGGGATCTCCCTTCTTCTCCTTCTCTTCCTCTTCCTTCTCCTCCCACCAGTCCTATCAGATTAGCACCCTGCCCTCATGATCTCATTTAACCGTCTAAAAGCCCTGTCTCCAAATACAGTCACTTTTGGGGTTAGGGCTTCAATATATGAATTTTGGGAGGACACAATTCAATATACATATACAGCATGGTACATCTCAATTTGGACTAGCCACATTTCATATGGTCAGTAGACATATATAGCTACTAGGTACCCTGTTGAACAGTACAGTCCAATAGCTGTACTTGAAGCATGCTCCTGACTAATGAAAGATTTGTGCTATTTTTAATATTTATTTATTTATTTATTTTTAAAGATTTTATTTATTTGACAGAGAGAGAAAGAGAGCACAAGGAGGGGAAGTGGCAGGCAGAGGCAGAGGGAGAAGCAGGCTCCCCAGAGAGCAGGGGGAGCCCAATGTGGGACTCGATCCCAGGATCCCAGTATCATGACCTGAGCTGAAGGCAGTTGCTTAACCTACTGAGCCACCCAGGTGCCCTGTGCTATTTTTAATATAAGAAAAATAATCATTTTTGATTGCTGATTCATATATTATTATTGTGAGGATGAAAATGATTCTTTGAAGCTCCTAAAATGCTGTGGTTCAAAGACACTAATGTAGTTCATGACTTGGCACTCACAGTTACTTGGGTGACCAGCAGCTCTAACAAGGTGGCCTTTGCTCAACTAGCCAGCCATGACTACGCACATTTTTTTAGACCATTGTGACAGAAGGGTGGCTGCAGTATCTTGTGACAAAAAAGATAGCACCTTATTGGTTTTTAATTTTATTAAGTTTTTTTTTTTTAAGATTTTATCCATTTATTTGACAGAAGGCAGACGCTTAATGACTGAGCCACCCAGGCACCCTAATTTTATTAAGTTTTAAATTCAGAAAAAAGCTGGTGCAGATTTTAAAAGCTTGATGATATTTAAAATTGTTCTAAATTATAAAAATAATGCATACTCTTCGTTAAAAAAAAAGAGTGTGGAACCTACAAACCAAAACAATAATACTCTCCTAGTTCCACTAATCCCACTTCCAGAGGATATAAATCTTAGGAATCTTGCTTTTCTTTTTTAAGATTTTATCTATTTGTTTGACAGAGAGACACAGCAAGAGAGGGAACACAAGCAGGGGGAGTGGGAGACAGGGGAATGGGAGATGGGGGAGTGGGAGACAGGGGAGTGGAAGACAGGGGAGTGGGGGGGAGTGGGAGAGGGGCAGTGGAAGAGTGGTGTGGGAGAGGGGGAGAGGGTGTGGGGGAGGTGGTATGGGAGATGGGGAAGCAGGCTTCCAGCGGAGCAAGGAGCCCAATGCGCGCCTCAATCCCAGGACCCTGGGATCATGACCTGAGCCAAAGGCAGACACTTAATGACTGAGCCACCCAGGTACCCCAGGAATCTTGCTTTTCAAAGTAGGGTGTTAAGTGGACATTTCAAGAAAAAAATTTCAGTTGCTTGGAAAATATTCACAAACCAACATTTCAGTGCTATTTTTACTATTTCTTAGATTTCTGCTCCTAATGAATTTGATATAATGTTCAAACTGGAGGTCCCCAGAATTCAGCCAGAAGAATATGGCAGCAGTGGTGCTTATTACTTTGTGAAGTTCAAAAGAAATCCCAAAGGAAATCCTCTGAGTCAGTTTTTAGAAGACGAAATATTATCAGCTTCTAAGATGCTGTTCAAGTTTAGGAAGATCATTAAGGAAGAAATTAAAAACATTCAAGGTAAGAGTTTTGACTGTTGATTCTTAAAGTTCTAATCATCCCTATTAATTGCCAGTGTGCACTCCTCTCCTGATCTTTTTCTTTCCACATCAGACAGGTAAAGTGCCGAGGTCCTAACAGGGTTGAGGGAGGCGTATGTCACACAACAACGTGAATACCCGATCCTCACACTTACGAACTCAAAAGGATCCTCTTCTGATCTTTCTTGATCTCTCTGCAGCAGACTGTTGATCGCTACGTCCTAGAAACAACTCTTCACTCCTGATTTTAGTTTACTGGAATTTCTTGGCATTCTTCCTAAATGTTGATTAGTTCTATTTTGGCCTCCATTGAATATTCACTGGACAGCTGCCTTATGCCACTGGGTACAGGTGGTTGCATAAAATCACCGGGATCGCCTCTTGAAGCTTGTAAACACAAATTGCACTGCGTGCTCTGAAGGGAATGAACTGGGAGAAGTAGTAGCAATTGGGGTGGAGTAAGACCCCAAGGCGGAAAAGAGCTTGGCAAGCTCAAGGAACAAAAAGAGGCCTGTGTGGACAAGGGGAAGAGTGACATGAAATGAAGTTGAAGAGGTGGCCAGGGGCCAGACTGTGCAAGGACTTGTAGATCCTGGAAATGAATTCAGATTGATTTCATGTTCATTCATGTTTTAATTAAGGAATAATGATTGGCTTTGTATTTTTAGAAGTTTACTCTGGCTTCTCTGGAGAATATATTCTAAAAAAACAAATAAGGGAAAGGAAAGGAAAAGGAAAATATTGAAGTAATTCAGGTGAAAGATAGTGGTGGCTTACATGGAGGTGGGGATGGAGAGAAGCAGACATATCCAAGCTTGTAGCAGTGCTTACTTCTGGATTAACTGTAGGGGTGGAGAGAAAGGACTGAATTAAAGAAGGCCTCCAGTCTGCTAACTGAGCACCTCTGTGGATTGATTGTACCATTTTCTAAGATGGGAAAGACTGAAGAGGAATGTATTTTAAGGTATGAATTAGAGGAGTATGGCTTTGGATATTTTAAGTTAGAGATTCCTGTGATACACTGAAGTGAGTATGTCAAGTCTGTTATTGGATATGGGTTTGAAGTTCAGAGGATATGTTTGGGCTGTATGTAAACATATAAATGGCATTGACAATGGATGAGACCACGTAGGCAGAGAGGGTTGATTCATTTATTCATGAATCAGTATCCATCGATCATCTAATGTGCCAGATGTTCTAGGTGTTTGGGATACAGTAATGAATAAAGAGATGAGGACCTTCACCCTTCTGTACCTTATAGTTATATAAGGGCAGACATACAATTAATAACAAATGGAAACCATAATTATCTTATATACTAGAAAGTAGTAAGTTTTATGATAAAAAAGTATAGCAAAGTGAGAGGGATCAAGAGTGTTGGGGATAGGATGGGGGAGGGGGAGGGGGAGTTGTAGTGTTAAGTAGAGTGGTAAGAAGAGGATCCCATTAGGGGTTGGGAAGAAGAGAAGGAGCATAAGGAGACTAAGTGTTTTTCAGAATGAGCGGTCAGTGTATAGAGTGCTACTGATGTCCAGAAACTATTGGATTTGGTCTACAGTTTTGTGGGGTTTTTTGGTAACTTTGACTTAGCAGTTCCAGTGGGGTCCTGAGCACACAAGAGACAAAGGGCAGGGAAGCAGTAAAGACAGCATGTGTAGGCATATCTTTACAAAGTCTCCACTGTAAAGGACACAGAAAGATGGGTCAGTGTGGGGAAGAGGCAGGGTGGGGTCAAGAGAGAGGTATATTTTAGAATGAGAAATACTGGAACCCTTTGTATACAGATAGGAATGATCCAGTAGGGAGGGGGCAGCCACTGATGACCAGAGAGGGAACAATTGAAGAAACAAGCTGCTTAAGAAGGTGAGAAGGAAGGAATCCAGACACCATGTGCAGGGGTGGCCTTTGAAAGGTAGATGGACACTTCTTTTTTTTTTTTCCCCTAAAGATTTTATTTATTTGACAGAGAGAGACACAGTGAGAGAGGGAACACAAGCAGGGGGAGTGGGAGAGGGAGAAGCAGGCTTCCCACCGAGCAGGGAGCCCGATATGGGGCTCAATCCAAGGACCCCGGGATCATAACCGGAGCTGAAGGCAGACGCCTAACGACTGAGCCACCCAGGCACCCCTAGATGGACACTTCTTACTAGGAATAGGAGGGTAGAAGGATATCATGGGTAAGAAGTGGGTTTTGCCAATTTAGTAATAAGAAAATGAGGGCGTTCTCTAGGATTTTCTCCTTTGTCCCCTATCTTCTCTCTCACTGTGGTCCCTTCCAGAAGTCTTATCTGGGAGTGGTCTTTAGCTACTGCTTGTACACCTCCCAATACCAAAGCCAGTATCTCTCCTCTATACTCCTTTCCCAAATTTCTGGCCACCACAGCCACCTATCCTATGGCCATCTTCACTTGGGTATCTTCCACACACCTAGAGCTCAGTATGTCTAAAATGAAGTGCATCTCAGCCCAATCTTTCTTCCTTCTGATTATTCCATATTGAAGAATCAAATCAACATCAACCATTTCCCAGGTCAAAATCCTGGGATGGCATTTCAGACTTTTACCTTCTTTCTTACCTTACAGATTCAGTCCATCTACCAGTTTTGTTGATTTGGACCTCTTTAATTGTTCTCATTTCTGCTACTTGTGTCTTTTTAAAAAAAATAAAAACTGTACAGTTGTTCCTTGAACAACAGGGTAGTTAGGGGCACCAACCTCCCCACATAGTTGAAAATCTGTGTATTAACAAAACTTAACCATTAAGAGCCTCCTGTTGACTGGAAGCCCCACGGATAACATAAACAGTTGATTAACACAAATTTTGTATGTTCTATGTATTATATACTATATTCTTACAATAAAGTAAACTAGAGAAAAAATGTTAAAATCTAAGGAGTGACTACATCAAAATAAAAAGTTTCTGCACAGGGCGCCTGGGTGGCTCAGTTGGTTAAGCGACTGCCTTCGGCTCAGGTCATGATCCTGGAGTCCCTGGATCGAGTCCCGCATCGGGCTCCCTGCTCGGCGGGGAGTCTGCTTCTCCCTCTGGCCCTCCCCCCTCTCATGTGCTCTCTCTCATTCTCTCTCAAATAAATAAATAAAATCTTAAAAAAAAAAAAAGTTTCTGCACAGCAAAGGAAACAATCAACAGAACTAAAAGACAATCTACTGAATGGGAGAAGAGATTTGCAAATGACATATCCAATAAAGGTTAGTATCCAAGATCTATAAAGAACTTATTAAACTCAACACCAGAAAAGACAAATAATTCAATTAAAAAGTGGGCAGAAGACATGAACAATATTTCTCCAAAGAAGACATGCAGATGGCCAAGAGATACATGAAAAGATGTTTATCATGACAACATCAGAGAAATGCAAATCAAAACTACAGTAAGAGATCCCCTCACACCTGTCAAAATGGCTGAAATCAAAAACACAAGAAACAACAAGTGTTGGCAAGGATGTGGAGAAAAAGGAACCCTTGTGCACTGTTGGTGGGAATACAAACTGGTATGGCCACTCTGGAAAACAATATGGAGGTTCCTCAAAAAGTTAGAAATAGAACTACCCTATAATTCAGCAATCGCACTACTGGGTATTTACCCAAAGAATACAAGAACACTAATTCAAAGGGATGCATGCACCCCTATGTTTATAGAGGTATTATATACAGTAGCCAAGATATGGAAGCAGCCCAAGTGTCTATTGACTGATGAATGGATAAAGATGTGGTGCATGTATATATATATATATAATGTATATTATTATAAGTGTATATATATTTATTTATATATACAATGGGATATTATTTAGCCATAAAAAAGAATGAAATCTTGCCATTTGCAATCACATGGATTGAGCTAGAGAGTATAATGCTAAGGGAAATAAGTCCGTCAGAGAAAGACAAATATATGATCACACTCATGTGTGGAATTTAAGGAACAAAATAAGGAGCAAAGGGACAAAAAGAAACAGACTCTTAGCTACAGAGAACAAACTGATGGTTACCAGAAGAGAGGTGGGGGGAGGGATGGATTAAACAGGTGATGGGGATTAAGGAATGCACTTGTCATGATGAGCACAGGGTGTTGTATGGAAGTGTTGAATAACTATATTGTACACCTGAAACTAACATTACACTGCATGTTAACTAACTGGAATTTAAAAACTTAGAAAATCATAAGGAAGAGAAAATATGTTTACAGGACTGTACTATATGTACCAGAAAAATCTGCATTTAAGTGGACCTGCACATTTCAAACCCATCTTGTTCCAGGGTCAGCTGTATTTAAGGTGTACAACATGCTGTTCTGATATACATATACGTAGTGAAGTGATTACCACAGTAAGCAAATTAACATACCTTCTCACATAGTTGCCTTTTGTGTGTGTGGTAAGAGTACCAAAAATCTACTCTCTGAGCTCACTTCCAGTGTTCAGTGTAGTAGTATTAATGACAGTCATCATGCTATACATTAGATTTCTATACTTACTCATCCTACATAACTGTAACTCTGTGCCCTTTGACTAACATCCCCCCATTTCCCTCACCTCCCCACCCCCCGTAACTACCATCCTACCCTCTGCTCCTGTGTATTCTGCTTTTTTAGATTCCACATAAAAGTGAGGTCATGCAGTATTTGCCTTTCTGCATCTAGCTTATTTCACTTAGTATAATGTCCTCCAGATCCATCCATGTTGTCACAGATGGCCAGATATTCTGAGTTAAGGCTGAATGGTATTCCATTGTGTATGGTTACCATAGTTTCTGTATCCATTCATCCATGCATTGACACATAGGTTGTTGCATGTCTTGGCTGTTGTGAATAATGCCGCAGGGAACATGGCTTGCTCCCTCTGTCTTCATGCCCCCTGCCTCTGTGGTGCCGCACGCACACACCCTCTGGGTTGGACTGTTGCTGTGGTCTTCTCGATTGCCTGCCTCCTCCCCGCCACTCATCTGCTCTTTTCCCCAGGCTTCCCTCCATACATTTAAGTGAAAATTTAATCACAATACTCCCAAAGCTCAAAGTCTTCAGGGGCTCCTCATCATTTATACCAGACAGAATTTTGACAATGCTTCCCTATGGTAGGTATTGATAAATATTGGTTAAGTGGGGAAAAACACTTTGCTTTTGGGGTCAGTTTCTACTTTAGAACTCACTTCA